CATATATTTTATGATCGCTTCATGATCAATATTATGAAGTATTGATGATGCAAAATTTTCGAACATACTCAAAGTTAGTGATGTTTCTATACCACGTTTTTGAAAACTATACTCTTCTGTTCGATTCCGCTTCAAAATGGCTCTATTCTATTCTGTCCTGTGCGTTTCTCGTTTGAGAACTGTTCTATTCTATTCTATTCTACCCCCTTAAACTGTGCTATACTGTTCTAAACTGTTCTATTCTATTCCGTCAGTCAGAAAAGCGACACGATAAAAGTTGTGGTAATTAGGGTTCGAAACGTGGTTTTTCTTGGCATTTGCAGTGCAAAATGGAGACTATTTTGGGTGAGAGAAGATTGTCCACGGAGGCAGTTGACAGCTTTTGACCGTGATGATTGGAGGAAAACGGAGGGTTTCGGGCTCTGGTAATCAACATCACTGAAGAACAGAGGATTCTCGTTTCGTCCCAACAGTTCGGTCAAAAACTGATGCACGGTTTCTCTTATTAATGAGTTCGGAATGAACTGATCCGTTCAATTGGACTCGAATCGTCCAAGCATTAACTTTCATTAGAGGCTTAAAATGTGAACAATTTCTGTGATGGATTGCTCCATGAGTTTAGAATACGACCAACATTTGAAAGTGTTCGTTCGGAAACACAGTTGCATCTTTAGTTGTTTCTGGAGGGAATTCCTCACAAACAGTCATTGGCAGTTTTGAGAATTAACTGCGATAACTTGCCCTTGATGAGCCGTTTCATCTCTCACTGATGGCCATTCGTCTCTCCCTAGTGGTACTGAATATGATGTTCTTTGGTGGATTCGAATCTCTAACACCTATCAGCATTGAATCCTCGCAGAATTACGAATAAATGATAATGGGTAAAATGAGAACAGTGTTAATGAAAAACAACAATGATAAGAAAAACGATAAATGATAATAACTAATAATAAGAATAAATAGGAATAGTTAAAACAATATTATTAATGATAACATCAATAAATAATAATCAAAATAATATTGATAAATGATAGTAATTAAAATAATATTAGTTAATAATAATAATAATAATAATAATAATAATAAATAATAACAACAACAATAATACAAAAATGGTAATTCATCTCACTGCAGTCTTCATGAAGAACAATTTAAGGAACAGCCAGAATGTGGTGGAAACTGTTCTGTACTGTTCTTTTGGGCTCAAAAACGACTCTATTCTATTCAATTCTGTGCATTCATCATTTGCGAACTGTTCTATTCTATTCCTTCGAATAGAACAGGAATAGAATAGTTTAACTGGAATAGAGACATCACTGCTCACAGTACTGAATATTCTAATTCATCCAGCCTTCATCCATCAAGAGATGCAAGGAGAATGCAGCAATAATTTCAGTGAAATGAATATTTTTAAATTATAATACCAATGCAATAGTTAGCGAAGATTTTGCACCTAAAGTGTATAGTACATTATGAATGAGTAAAAAACTGTTTGAGTCGACTGAACTACCGTCTGTTGACACAATTTTGTAATTTGTTTACGTTTTTTCATGTGTTTACTTTGCCACACCTCCCATACAATTTGCTGGAAGACAAATTTCTAGTGCATTTTGTCGTGCTGATAACCAAAGTTAGTTTGTGAAACTCTCGATATTGTCACAGATTTCAATGGAACTGTAATCAAGAACAGAAACGATCTACTAAAGAAATGAATCGGAAGTAACTGAAGAACGAAGAAAAACACTCGTCGAGTCATTTTCACGCCAATCACAATGATTCATCCTTTCAGTTATTGTGTTATGTTACTTCTTTCATTCGACGCAAGTACTTGGAAAATTTGAATAATTTTAGCAAACCTGTTGATTGTGTGTACCATTTTGCAATTCATTTTTTACCAGTGTGGGATGATATGATCACGCGGTGTTATAATTTGACGAAAGAAAGCTGTTGATTAGATTGTTTTGAAAATACACCAATCATGCTACTAGTCGTGAGTGCTCTCAAAGAAGTTCTTATTCGCAAGACATTAAATTACATGACATGTCAAATCTCAACAAAAAAGCGACTGCATTTTTGTTCACTGTTCATTACACCTCAATCATGTGTAAATTAAGCCATCATTCATGCTCACTAACACTACATATCTGTTGACAAAATCACATTTCACAATTGCGATCGTCACAGTTTAGTGTATTGATTATGACCAAATCGAAGCTTGTTTCTAAATATTTATCAAAAATGTAATTTAACTACATATACCACTGTGCATGAAAAGAATTAGCACGCTGAATAGCATTTTGATACTATTTTAGCTTAAGGAAGCGATACGTGTTGAATTCTAGACATTTCGAAAGTATCTTATTAGCGTGCCTATTTAGATCGGTGACTGACAATTAGTATTGTAGACGCGATCATAAGCAAACGGAAGGAGAGAAGGGTGATGGAGGGGAATTGTCTCCTTGAGAGAAGCTGGTTGCCATCAGAATATAACCCTGATTATAGGACTGCATGAGTGCTACTGCATTGTTCCGAATTGTCCATGTCAAATTTTTACAACTGAATCTCATACACCGAACTGATAAATCGTTGAAACACACGTTCATTTTTGCAAAATTTTTCTAAACGAATTAATGAGGCCATTATTTGTTCTGTTATTGTTCTTGTGATAGATGATAATTCATTGCAGTTTTTGCACTCGGTTACTTTCAGTGTTCAAAGCGTCAGAAACGAGGCAATACCTGCAAGATTTGTTACTATCAGCAATTCAGTAGTGCGTAATTTGCCATCATTCGCAACGCAATAATCGTTGATGGCACCATAATCACTATCTGGCATTTTAGCGCTAAGAATAACAGCAATAATTTTGGTAATATTACATTTCAGTTTTGCTTGAAAAGAGGAAATTGATATGGAAAGAAGGATGTCTTCAGTGGTGGAGAAGAATCTACACTTGGTGGTGTGACATTGTTCGCTCATATCAACAACTATTCTTATCAGTTCATTCATGTACTTTATACTCGCTGGCACATGAATGGATCAATTTCATGTGTTTCTCGCTTCAAAACATTCATTCCTATCTGCTTTTTCCCAACAATATCAGTTTAATTCAACTGAGATAACTTACTGCAGAAATGAAGCGTTTAAATCATTCACCACTAACAGTTCCCTCTAACTGCATTCTTTTGAAAGTGCTAAATTAAGCGCGCTAGATGCATTTCAATTATCGTCTTCCTCTCTCACGTCTCTGAAAGCCTAGAAAACCATTAACCATGTAAAGCAGTCGCATTTGTTTGGTGTTGAATTGATTTTAGAGAGTTCGATGCAGTCGAATCCCTCTTTACGACCACAATTTGTTGCAATATTCTCGTTGTAATTTGATCTGGTCGGAAACTAAAGCACACTGTTTCATAGTGACCAGTGGAACATGTTTATTGGTGGTATTGAATATCAATAATTCTCCTCAGAAATTCTTCACAGAATTCAGAGAATGATAGAAAAATGATAACAAAACGTTTAGCCGGAATCAGAGTCGTCTTCTTTGGTAACTTCCTGGACAGTGCTCTAAGATATCATCTCGTAGTCAGCCTTCAGTATCATCAAGAATTTACCGCTAGAAACTGATTGTAATTTATTAGCTTCTTCTCTCACCCACGACTCTTCTTATAAAACTGATTCCCACTCATTTCCAGCCCCAAATTCCTTACAAATAAAACGATCTATTCACTGTCATTGCATAGGCTTCAAGTACTTTTCATGAGCACAGTTTTCTCCCAATAGATTAAAAGAACACTTAACGAAAATCAGAAAACACCGCGTTCAATGATTCTCAAACTAAATGAATACTATTCACCAAGGAAAAGACTACTAAGATGCGATCGAAATCCTATCACGAATCCCCCTCTCCTTTAGAACATTTATACTTTAATAATATTTTAGAACATGATGAAAAGTTTAATTTTAACAATGGTCGTGAATTGAGCAACGGCCTCAAATTGTATCAAATCATCGTAAATCAAAGCGTTCTTGAACCAAAATTCCAGTGTATCGCAAATGCATTCATTCCAACATATTAATTATTAACCAATCATTAATGATCAATATCGTTACTCTTCTGGGACTAACTATCAAGTTGTGCTCGTTTCCGATAAACTCCTTCATTGCTCATCTCTATGTTGTTGGTAAAAACTTGTAACGAATAATTAGAAGAAAACATTTCTTCATTCGTTTATATTATTTGGAATACAAAGTATTATTTGTCTTATCAAAATGCAAACAAACGAACAGCTCAGCTCGCCCTTCAATATTATGGCGCTTCAACCGTGAACGCAACTCTCTACTAGTTGCGGTAGAATGTTCTCAGCCGTAAGCTGTGTGATGTTTTGCAAATGCGAATGTAATAAATATGCTCAGTTCATTTAAATTGTTTAAACAGGTTTTTTTTTTGTACAAAATAAATTGCTGCTTCTATTGTGATACCATGACGTCCATTTTTACCCAGTTGCGGGCTAATACTGCAGGAGTAAACGTATTTTATGTATGATGCTCACTTCATCATATTTTCTAAAAATTTACTTCACGCTATCTTCTTTCTGTTCAGAATTTACTTTCTGATTCCTCCACGACGAGATTTCTTCGAAAGGGGAAATCCGACTCAGTGAACTGAATTAGTTGTGTGCGCACTTTGTTTATTTCAAATCATCGTCGTCTCAAAATTAATGAAACATTTGCAATTTGCTGTTGCTGTTGCTGTATTTGTTTTGGAATAGATTCTGTTCGTAGTCAAATTTCTCTTTATTCATGAACTGATTATGCTATTGGTTATGTAGTACATTACTCATCATGAAAACATTCAGTGCTCATCATATTCCTTTTATATTGTTTTATTTACCTGCGCTCAGTTACAGCTGTTGCTTTATTGTACGGTTATCGGCCGTATCTTGTTCCATTCTCATTCTTTACTTTGTTGAGAATATTTGAAAGTTGCTCTGAATTCAGCAACATATGAGTGCGATCGGAGCTTTTTTAACGCGTCCGAGTTTCATTTTATACTCTGTGTTCATGATCGTGATCAATGAACAATAAAAGCTGTCATTCATTATTTGGACGAATGCGTTTTTTTGGTTTGGCGTTGCTTTTCGAAATTATATTCCATCACTCCGATAGGATTGCTCGAGTCGAACTCTACACTATGATAGCTTCCTAGATTGAATATCGAACTACACAGTATGAATGTGCATTGAATATGTGCATGTTTACTGACGTTTAACTGAATAAAGTTTAAATATTCATTGGATGATCGATACTGGAAATTTTTCATTGTATTTACTTTGGCTTTGTTCTAGCAGTTGATTTGTTTTATTTATTTGCTTCCGGTTGTGATTTAAATGAAACTCTAATTTTTTTTTTAATTTTGTAGTATTTAAGGTAAAAATGGAGGTGGGCAGACGAGTGGCAGATACGTTTACGGATCAGAGTGTACTGGTAACCGGTGCTAGTGGTTTTCTGGGAAAGGTTTTGGTGGAAAAATTACTCTACTCGACCCCTCAGCTCAAAAACATCTACTTGCTCATTCGTCCTCTAGGTGCTCTTAGCCCCAAGCAAAGGCTAGCAGAAATGCTAAAGGTTCATTTTTCGCTCATCACATTTTTGTTACCAATTAAATGTTTTTACTGCTGAAAATTTTCATTCTTGTCGCAGCTCTAGCTCCAGGAGACGTACTGAACTGTAATGTCGAAAAACAGTTTCGCTCAAAAAGAATTTAAAAATCAGATTTTGATTCGTTTTTTCCGGCACCAGTTCGTTGGTTTTAACGACACTTCGGTTTCTGTCTAACAGTAAGATCTTTATTTCGATCTGTTAGCTTGTTATCCGAACGCAGAGCTAGAACAAGCTAAATTTGTTTAGGGACCACTATTCGATCGTCTTCGAAGTCAAAATCCAGATGCCTTCGCGAAGTTGATTCCGGTCGGAGGAAACCTTCTGGAACAAGATCTGGGTTTGAGTGAACCGGATATGCACTTATTGTGTGATGAAGTTGGCATTGGTATGTATCGGCTTTACCAAGTTTGGAATTAGTCAAATGTTTATCGTGTTTTATCGAATTACAAGTCAAATGTAACGAAAACGTTTTCTGACAGTGTCCAACTTCTGCTTGTCGAATTGAGTGTATTCGAAGAGCACTCTGAAGAGTGGATATGTATTGGTTTTCACAGTCATTGTGTCATTACAATGCCCAGTTTTTTGTTTTGTTTTCGTTTATTAATTGAATGATCACCTCTTCATACCACTCATTGCAGTATTCCATTGTGCAGCAACTGTGAAATTTGATGAAGCCTTACGATTGTCGATTGAAATGAACGTTATGGGTACACAACGCCTATTAGCACTTTGCCACAAAATGCGCAATCTTATTGTTGGTTTATTTTTTAATTGTTTCGTTATTACTGCTCTCGTTGGATTCTCGTCTTATTCTGTTACCTAACTGTCCGTATATGTTCGTGTTTGTTTTTAAGTATCAGAATCTCTGTGCAGTTCTAATTAATAAGCACCTTCATTCGTTCAGGATCGCAGTATTCATTTCGTGATAAAATATGGTATATGTTAAGTACAGTGTTGAAGTGTAAATAAACAAACAAACGAAAGTTGATTCCGAAGTAATTATTACTTTTTCGTAACGATTTTGATGTTGTAATACAATTATCATCAGTGATTGAAGGTGATTGTGCACGCAAGTACGGCATATGCGAACTGTGATAAATCAGAAACAATGGAATGTGTGTATCCACCACCGGTGCCGCCAAATAAGTTGCTTGATGCTGTTGAGTGGATGGACGATAATATGCTACGCTCAGTCACACCGCACTTGCTTGCTCAGCGACCCAATACTTATACGCTTACGAAGGCACTTGCTGAGGTTTAACTTCATACGTTTCATGTTATAGTCCTTGCTCACGCAGCTCTTATACTTTTTATTATAGCGCTTTAATTTCGACATTTATGGTATCATACTGACAAGAACTAATTCTTGCTATCTCCAGTGCTTAACATTCTCGCCTTTGGGCCATGACGCGCTGAAATCACACTTATTAACATTCTAAATCAGCAACATTCTTACAAAAAAAAGATTGTAGTGGTCTCTTATCGAGAATTATGCGACGATTGAAAGAGTAGCACGAAATATGCTTATAGGTGCAACTGATTGAAGATGCACGAATGTTACCGCTTATAATAATACGCCCCTCAATTATTGGCGCTATGTGGAAGGAGCCGTTGCCAGGTTGGACAGACAATATCAATGGGCCTACGGGTATATTCGCTGCAGTTAGTTTTTAATTACTCGCATTTGTTCCGCATTCTTGGAAATAAACAATCCAATCGAGTCAGTTGAATTCATCAAACAATTGAAGCAGATCAATTTGTGATATAACTAAACAGAATAATTCGCAACTTTTGTTGCTGTCATATTACAATAATCTTGCGACAATTCGCAAGTATTGCAATAATCTTAAAAATTCAGCTTTAATTTTTGTTGTCGTTATCCTTCAAATATTAACTGGAAGATCTGTGGGCAAGAATACGAGATTGGTGTGGTGATATCGAATAATAACCAATAATGAATAATTTATTGAAGTGTGGCAAAGGACTGCTTACCAATATGTGTGGTAGTAATCATTCGAAAGCAGATATCATTCCCGTTGATATTGTCTCGAATATGCTTATCGTTGCTGCAGCGTACAGAAATAATATCAGGTAAGAATACGGTGATGTTAACAGTTCATTTACATTTGCAACTTTGATAGGGTTCACGAAGAGAATTTGGTTTGAATAGTGCACAAGGAAAAATATCCATTAATCCTATCAATACGAAGCATTATACTTGCATTATATAATGATGGGTGTCGATGCGGATTGAATAAAGTTTAGGTGAGTGGAAGGAAATAGTGTAAAAGATTGAAAGATAGTTACGTATTCTAAGGAGGCTTTTGTGTGATGTGATATAGCCTACAGGTGCGATATGATACCGGTAGTGCACTGTTGTTCGGGTCAGCTAAATCCAATCCGGTGGAAACACATTGTCGATTTTCTTGAAGTGTTCTATCGAGAGTATCCGCTCAATGAATGCTACCGTCTTCCGTCTACACATTTTCACACGTCACGTGTTTTGTTCAAACTCAATTACTATTATAAGCATCTCATTCCTGCGTATTTAATCGATTTCATATGTCGTATCACTGGTCGAAATCAACAGTGAGTTCGCTTAATTCATCTCGTTTTATTTGTTTCAATCGATTTCCATGCGTGGAGCATTTTCAGGGTGACTTTTTGATATCTTGATGGGCTGTCCTTTAACATTAAAAAATTTCACTCCAGAGAATTGAATTGTCATCGTAATGCGGTTTCGTTGCATTCACAAGTTGAAGAGTTTACCAAAGTTTTTAGTGATAATTTCATCAAAAATGCTGCATATCATATAAATGACCATATATTTTGTTGAGGTTTGTACGTATTTATGGTAAGATATGGCGAATGGTTGAAACGTTACATTATTTCACCACGAGAGGATGGAACTTTGAAACGAAAGGCCTGCTGACCATGTGGGACTGGATGTGTGACGAGGACAAACAGGTTATACATTATTGTCGTTCACATTGTTGCTCTTGCAGTGATTATTAGAAAAGTTTTGCTTGATATAATTGAGTTTTTTTTTGTTTGTGCATTGTTGCGACTGTTGCTTCATTATGACCAAATGATAATTCTTCTTCATTTTTAAGGTGTTCAATTTTGATGTTCGGCAGGTTAATTGGGATTCGTATCTGTTCGATTATTTAATGGGTGTTAAAAGGTATCTAATGAAAGATAGGCTTGAAGATATTCCAAAGGCAAAGAATAATCTTCATTGGTAAGCTAGCTGTCTTTTCAGTTTTTTTTAACATTCCGGATCAAATTCTCCATTTTTACAAAGATATTTTATGAATTTTCCATCGAGCTTTTCGAGTTTCATACCGGTTAATTTTGAATGCAGATGATCAATTTAAAAAATTTCTGATAGTGATCATGTACGTGGAGCAATATTTTTTTCTGAAGTTGTATTCATGCTGACATAAATTCATTTGTTGTTGCCGGGTTTCATTCAGTCATTTTCATCCTCAGTGCACAATTTTTATTTGTCTGTCGTAAAATTCAATTTGTTACAGTTTTCTGCAATCCAGGGGTCTTTAGGTGTGTCATGAACATTAACTGAATGATGTAAAATTCAGGTTGAAAATCTATTCAGCGATTGCAAACGCTGGTTTTTGGTGGATGTTTGTGCGCACTTTTGCCAGGTTCTTTTTTGTTCCTCTTCGTATAAGCATTCTTTTGAATCAAATGACGTGATACAATATCATGTTTTCAGACGGCGTTTGAAGAAGACAACCCAGTGGGGTATGTGGGCAATTGGTTTTATGCTCACGTACATTTGGTCAAACTGTAGTTTTGGTGAACGAATACAACTGAAATCAATTGATGAGTACAAACAAAGTGCGCATTATTGCTAGTCATATCATTGCTGTTGTCATCATCAGTTTTTTGTCATTCTCATTGTTAGAATTATTGTAAAAGTTTAGAGGAGAAAGAGGAGAGCTCTCGTTAATGTGACAACAGCAAAAATTTAGTGATTTCATTGACTGTGTAATTGTGGTGGTAAATTAAACTTGTTTACATGCTTGATCGAGCATTTAATTGAGTTGTCTGTTTTAATGCTATATTGATGCTTCATCGCATATGAATGATATCAAATCAGATTGGCTTTACTGAATGTTTATGACTCGTTCGCGTTCTGACATGGCACAAAGTGATCTGGCATTTCTTTATTATATAAAATGATTAACGTCTTTTTCGATGATCTTTTTGTTCAAGTCAGCATTCATCCTATCACATACTCATTTATCCCATCTCCATTGTGCTTAATTAGATTAGATCTTGTCAACTTTCGGTGTCATTATTATTTTATAGTCATTATCGTCGTTTCTGTTCTTATCTTTTGCGTCGTTCATCAAAGTTAGCATTCATCTTGAAAAGCGATATCTTGCGACAGAAGTAAGAAATGCTGAAACATAATCAGCAGTCTTTTTCCTCGGTGAATGTTCGTAACAATAACGTTGAATCGAGTGAATGTTCTGTAACTTCTGTCGATACTGTTTGCTTTGATGGTTGAAAATTTATTGTAATTATTGCCGTGTCGCCACTGTGAGGCGTTGGGATAGATTTTTTGATAAATATTTGAAATAGAGGTGAGGGAATTAAGCTTTGTTAGGTTGTTATCGAATAAAGAAATTTTTGAAGTGCTACTAGAAGAAATTACGTTCTTCGAGGCGATCATTCTGTGTGATTCAATGGTAATAAATGTTAAAGAACTTTTAATTTGTTTACGAACGAGTTGAATCGATTCATTCAAGTAAACTGCATTTGAGATATCTGTTGTCAATAGGAATACTGAACGCATATCTTAATAAAAATGACAGAGGTGCGATACTGCTAAAATTACTGTGCGAATCCAGTTGCGAGCAGAATGCAGAACAGTGCATCGTACCATCTTTCGTTTCTTTTCGCTATTCCATTCCTTGCATTCATTCATTCACTTTGCCCTCATTTATCATTCATTCTTGTTTCGGTGATGTTTATAAAATACCTTTTTGTCTACCTTTTTTTCCCGGTTATATATTAGAATCAGTCGTCTTTTTTTGTCAACTTGGAGTTTTGTGTTATTTATCCGCTTTACTTTCTCTTATTTGTGTGATCAGATCAGAATATATTATCATCGTTGTGATATTATCATAATTGTCATTGGAGAGATTTTCGCGATTTATAAAAATACAAACACAGTACAATCATGTGGTGTAAACATAGAATATGTGTATGTGTATGGCTAAATTTCATTCCGTATTCATTACAAAGAAATGACTCCTCATCCAACAATAACACTGACTGTTTTTAAAATGTTTTCTTGAGAGAAACACAATACGCTAACATATCGGGAAGTTTTTCAGTTTTGCGCAATAAAGGCTGCTATTTTTACGCGTGTTGTTTGACTGCCGTAATTCAGCTAAGATATCATTAGGTCATATCGTATAACATTAAAGAAACGACGAGATATACGGTTAGAAATGATTGATTTGCAAACCAAGATTTGAATGGAATGAATCAGAACAAAAAACTTAATAAAATACGTCTTCATTCGAAACGTTACATCGATAACGATGAGCAAATATCAGGATCCAACAAAAACAAGTCGTCGGCAAAACAAATGAGCGCAAACATCAGAATACAACTGAAAATCATGGACTACATTTTAGAGCAAGAATAAACGATTAATTGCTTGTTGTCAACATAGAATCGCATAAATAAAACGAACACCTCGTAATCACAATGCAAATTTTCATAGAACTATGTTCACATACTGGTATAAATATCACCCATCAGTAGTTTTCGATCAACGTTTTGCCTTTACTTATGCCTATCTTACATTTCTAAAATTATTCAATATGACGAGTGCATAACTACCGTGAACAATAACTGATCCGTTCTTCACATTCGCTGATGGCAATTACCAGTGATTGATTCTTGGTCTGAAAAACCAAGCATCAAATGCTTATAGTTGCAGTTTTCAACACCGCTTTCTAAGAAATGGAATCAGAACTGCCAATCTTTCGACAGACCTTAATATTTGTTAGCTACCAGTGATGAAAAATGAGTGAGTGCTAATAGAATCACTACATCAGCATACTTACGGTCTCTCATAAACGTTTTCATTGTGTTAAGAGTACCATTCAGAACAATAATTAGTCTTTGAATTAAGCCGGTTCGTCATTATTTAAACCCATCCGATTTTCATTCATTCAAGCTACATATGACAGTAGAGTGAAAAGTGGAAGTACATGGATGGTATGAATAGTCATGCAGACAATGGTACAAGTACAGCATTTAATGAATCGTCATGAACTATAGCATTTAATGCATGCATTAATGCAAGGTGAATTATAGCATTTATTGCATTGAAACAATGCTCTCTGATGTATTCAGCATATAACCTTCCAAAGAGCATTTATTGCATTGAAACAATGCTTTCTGATGTATTCAGCATATAACCTTCCAAAGAAATTTTGATAACTTTTTGTTTTTAAATACTGGTCCGAAAATGTAGCATAGATTAGGAATAATAAGCATATCATTTAAAGATATATTTCTTATACAGTTCAAGGAATGGTCAACTCCTCATCAATGCTTGGAATAAGGAAACGGAATTGAAAACTTTCTTTTTATACCCTCTCAGAAGTGTCCGCTCCTGCCCTTCTCATGCTGCTCCAAAACCCCTTTTTATTCATGAGGAGGTTCCAGTTAATTAGGAAGATTTTTTATCATGCTTTGACGAACGCGTACTATCAACAGCCTCACCAATTTGTTCTGTTTGATCTTCATAGTGACGATCTTTGAAATGCTGCCTAAAATGAAGCAATAAATAGTGAAATTCATCGGAGTTATACTGTGATTCGAAATTATCAAAACGCAATTTAGATCCAATAATTCACTCAACTGGCACGTCTACATTACGGGATAAGCAAAAACCAGCAATATTCAATGCTTATACAAAATAAATGAATAAAACTGAGAAGACAGAGAAGAAATACCTTATCTGTGGAGCGTAGTAGAGATCGAAAAGAGTTTTCGCGGTGATTTTAGGAGGTGGCCAACGTTCATCTTCAAGAACATACAGATCAGCGAGTTCCTCAGAGCCTTTCTGTTTCACGATTTGTTCATATGCCTTACGTCTAAATTAACGTAAATAAACATCAATCGAAATAATGTATGATCGAATCTATCACCTGACGTCAATAAACAATTCAGTTTACATAGAAACTAATCATATGACTGGATTAAAAGCAACAATGAAAATCTCAATCAGAAAACCTTTTCTCAATCTCAACATCCGTTTTGAACGATACGTAAGGCCCTAAGTTGAATCCTGTAAGATCTGGAACAACCAATTCAGCGCATGCTTCTTTCACAACAATATACTTTCCTGTTGTTGCATCCACATAACCATTTGGCTGTACACCCGTATAATCTTGAAAATAAATTTCCATTAAGAGTTTGAAGACGACGATAGTAAGAAATATAATTCTATTTTTAATTAGATGAAGGCCACTTCATATCGTTCACACGTTTTACAAAAGTCTAGACACACAGTGACGAAATGAGCGAATGCATCCTTTTTTTTTTAAGTTTCCATCAAGTCCTTCACTTAGCCTTTCAAATTGCTGCATTACTGATCCCTAAAATCTGAATACATAAGAACCGCCATTAATCTCGTTTTGTTTTGAAATTATAGCGTCTCTGGAGCGTGGACTAAGGCAGGATGTAAAAAAATGGGCTCGCAAAATTGTAACTGATGAGATCTCCCAAGTCCTCAAGTTTTAGGGGACAATCGAGAGTTCGTGGGTGGTCCCAAAAGTTGCTCCTGTCCAGTTCGATACTGTGTGTCCAGATTTTTAGAAAACTCTCTAAATTACTGGTCACTTATAACCGTATGGAACAATGTGGCCGCATCCTCTATTCATTTCTTTAGAACGTAGATAACGCAAAATACGACTTACCGGCAAGTTCTGGAGGATTAAGATGCTGATATTTTGGCGACAGCTCTGGGAACTCACGTCTTTGCCCTGGAATTTTGTGTTTCTCGTATACGAATGGGCCAATTTTGCGTTGGCCGAAAGCACCCTTAAGTTAGATAAATTTTTTCATCGCACAAGAATACAACATGAAAATATTTAGCACTTATAAACGTATCTTTGAAAGAAACAAGCCAATAATGCGACGTCGTTTTGTCAATACTCACGATTTTGAAGATACGAAACATGACTTCGAATTCTAATTATAAAAACTTTCGGTTTTCCATGAAACTTAGGTTTTGTTCCAAAACTCGTGCATGAAATCATACGTGCACTCTTCGCATGTAATTAAAAAGCATAAACATTCACCCACAAAAAAAGTCGACCTGGCTATTAAATCATAAACACCAACCTTTTTGACAAATGGCCACGGTGCACGAAATTCATGTGGTCGGAGCGAACGGATGCCACGAGAGCACTGTATGCTTGTTGACGCAAACATCCTAACAAGGATTCAAAACAATCTGGTTTAAAATGATATTCGCTATGCCTGACGATTCAAAATCTCATTACACGCTCTGTCGCCCATCAAATCACCCCACGGCAAACCTTTTCGGAATTTTCAAAGATCATTGCACACCATGCAATGCTGACAGTTCGCCAAGTACGAACGGAGTGACAGTTCGCCAAGTGACGGAACTCGCATTTTCATTTGATATGTGTTCAGTAATGTGAATTTCTTACTCATTGAACGGATATGAATCCAGGCGGTTTATATATCGTTTTGTAGCGCAGATCTAGGAGAATAAAACATGATGTACAGAATGGGCAGGAATGAAAGTATATCCGAGATTTTCTATTCCGCTTTAAGTGCAAAAGCTCAAGAAATAATTTGAATTGTTACCCGCCCGTCAGGGAAAATTTACAAGCATGATGTATACCATCTTGTAGCCGAGCTTGAGTGCTATAGAAATCCGCATTAAATATTGACGCTAACTGTTAAGTTACGAGAGGTTTGCCGCTTGGTGTGATCAATGATGGTGTTCAATAGTCACAATTGGTATATATACTGAAGTAATTGAAATTCTCTCCGTTATCCACGGAGGAGCATGCGCAAAATTGAGATACTTCTCGCCACCTTCATCGCAATGTAAGGAAGCCATATGCAAAAAACACATAGAAAAGTGGCCAACGGAAGCAAAACAATACTAGCAAAGACTTGTTCCTTCGACACATCGGAGCGTTCCAAACAGTACTTTATGGCTCCAGTCAAGGCTGACGGCATCTGCTTGTATAGGGCGCTGAGTCTCTCTGTTAGCGGAACTGAAGAGAACCATGTGGCCATCCGACGAATAATTTGTGAATTCATTGAAACACAGAGGAAATTTACCGTGTTGGTTGCTAGCACTGAATGAGGTTTGTAATTCTTGTAATGAGCATTCTCGTTGTTTTACTTCAGTGTTATTATTATTATTATTACTATTATTATTATTATTATTATCATTGCTATTTACGAATCATTACTTCTCTTATATTAAAAAAAAACAATTTCAGTGACAAGGAAACGAGTGTAGAGATCTTTGTTGCTGAAAATTTTCGTATGATGACAAGAGAATTTGATTTCAGGAGAAGAATTTAAACGATCTGTTGAGTCTACTGTTGAGTTACAGCCATTTAGAGGTCACTTGTTGAATACTGATGAAAATGGTTGAATCGACAAGTGATACACTCATATCGGCACATTCCCGTTGCACACTTCCATATCATTAAATTGATATTTTCTTTCATTTAGTCAGCAAAAATGCAGATAATACATTGAAAGAGGTGAGGTTCTGGTATTTGTTTGACTTTTCATTTGATTCTTTTCCCGAGGAAGTTTTTCTTTTGAATATTATTCTGAGACATTTTGTTTGTTGGTTTAGAGGAGGGCGCAAAATTGGATTAATAATCAAATTTGGGCAAAAAATTTTTGAACATTGATGAAAATTTTTTCATCGTTAATTTTAGTTTCACAATCATCACTGCCGCTGTTATCATTACACGTTTCAACAGCAATATCACCGTTTGTGCTTGGTGAACCGTGTGTATACCCACACCATCATACGAACAGCATGCGAAGCGTACGAACGTGTTGGCTCGATGGTCGAAAGGAACGTCCGCACTACACTAATGGCACTATTACATATAAGCCTGCAGCTTGTTGACGAGGAAATGCAAGGAAATTTCCCCCATGTTTCGGGACGAGACATATGTCATATTGCAGAGCTCGTGTAGCGGTTTGTTGCTTGTGGGTTTGGTTTGTTTTTCTACTGTGATGGGGTTGTTGTGTGAGAAATTCGGTGCTGGTGACACTGCTTTTGCAACTAGAGAAAAGATGAAAATGGCGCAAAGATTAATATATATATTATAAAAGGGCATGTGGAGGGTGATGAGTTGGAGGTGGAAGAAGATGAGGAAGTTTGTGGCGAAAGTGAAATTGAAGTGGAATAGTCGATGGACCTAGATAATGGTGTTCTCGCCATTCCGGATACAATACTCTTCAGTAATAGCAAAGTGATTTGCGCACCGGATGTTCGTCGCGTTGTTGATTACTGTGGCTCACCAACTGATGGATACGGAACATGTTCATCCGTGCACAGCAAGTTCAGGTTCATTAACAACAAAGATGACCTGAAACGGTTACGCGAATTTGAAAAGAACCAAATATCTATTGTGGATCGTCGAAGCGACATCAAAGCATTGTCGGTCAAACTCAAAGAAATGGTCATCGAGAGGATGTGAAGAGGGGTCGTACTACGTGGTGTTTCTCTGATCAACATATAGATCCAGTTCGTGGAATTTGATACTGTAATGGAACGGCTCAGTTGCATAACGGAATTTTGGAAATTGAGGTTTAAGTATAAAACTAAGTAGGATTTATCCGACAACACAAAAGAATTAAAATGCTAATAAATGGACCTGATAGTACATGTGTCTTAAAAATGTGCATGAGGCTTTTAAACTGTGTGTTTTCAACCAATATGCAGATCATAGCAGATTAAATTTTGTGTCTGAATCTGAACAAAACAAA